GCAGGGGAGAGATCAAAACAAAACAACGGTCACTAATTAGAAGTACAAAACGAGGATTTGTAAAGAAGAATGTCAGAGGATTTCGATATAAGCCAAGAGGAGACTGGTTTTCCTTTGCTAAAGTAAAGAAACTTTACTTCCTTTGCTCCTATTAACAAACGTTGGTTTTCACGAGACTCACCGGCGCATGCGCAATGCTGATCTCATACGTTATCCGCCTGGAGCTGCTTCTGTGTACAACTGTTGGCGCAAGCTAGATTAAAGTGATTATTATGTTTTGAATATGGATATTTTTCTTACAAAAATGCATACAAAGGCCTTTGTTCACCCCCCGGAGCCATGTGAGACACTTTTTTTATGGATGGGCGCTTTTTATTTAACTTCTTTTGGACTGAAGCACTGCAACACCTGCTGACTGCAATGATAGAGCTTGGAATAGCCAGGACAATTTTTTATATAACTCCGACTGGATTCGTCTGAAAGAAGAAAGTCATATACACCTAGGATGCCTCGGGGGTGAGTTGAACACCTAATTTCATTTTTGGGTGAACTAACCCTTTAAGACTTCTGTCTATTCCTTAGTAAAAGTTTGTCTCAGCAGCTTTGTGAATAGGTTTTAAGAGAAAACTCTTAGCTAAAAACTTTTACTGCTATTTAGGAGAACTCTTAGTGGTAAGAGAAAATGTTTTGTGAATACGGGTCCAGGTCTTCAGCCAGCCAGACAGCGGGTTCCTCAGAGTCAGCTTGAGGCCCAGACCAAAAGAAGATTATTCACAGAAATTTGGTACAAATTATATCTTTTACCCCACTCGGAATAATGGAAGCAGTGTGAGATTGGAAAGAATGAATTTAACATGTTCTCCTCGTTAAGTCATTCTTACATAGGACCAGTGGCATCGCTAAGGATTCTGGACCCACTGCACAGAATTTTCTAATTTTTGGTAGAAAACAAACTTGTTCTGAACAATAAAGTAGACTCAAGGGTATTACCTTGCTAAATATGTTAAAGGGGTGGTTGATCAGCTTTTTTTCGAAGGCTTAATTGTGTTTATGGGGTGCAGTGTAATGTGTTCATGCTTAATTTTTTTAAAAAATGAATTTTTTTCAACACCTAACTTTACCTTAATTCTACACCGCTGTTTCTGTTCTTGTCAAAACAGTCTATTGAGTTCCTGGTTCTATGAAGCTCCTCCCTCAGAAATACGCAATGGTCTCAGATTGGTTAGCTGGCCCAGTGTGTTGTGAGTCCCAACCGCCTAGTGCACGTTGTTTGGAAATGTCACGCCTCCTTAACATTATGGGTAGTTGCATGTGCTCCAGTGTATGGTAAACAATGGCGTAAATTTTGCCTTATCAATTTGAGCCCAAATCAGACCCAGAGAATATTAGTGAAGAAGATCGAGCAGAACCTGTAAACGCACAGCTCTTACAGGACGTTTCAGAATGGTATGTTTATTTGTTTGTAGTTGTCTCATACTTTTTAGATACGCTGTTATTTGTAATTGCTGCCGTTTTTTTGCTTTTGATATATGGTTTTATCCTGATTAAAGCATTAGTACAGCACAATGCATGATTGCATTGTAGCATTTTAGTAAAGTAATTGTTTAATTTGTAAAAGTAAGAAGTGTTTGCTTATTAACAAAATCTAGTGTACAGGCATTGAGCTCGTGTAGATTGAGGAAGCTGTGCACCGTAAAATGTGCAGCACAGAGAGCTATATTGGGAATATAATTGCCAGGAACAGAGTTAAAAATAAATTTTAACAATTTTAAATTTTAACCAACAAAGAGGACCTGCAATCGAGGTGAAAATAACAGCTTTTTGACGGCATGGCAACAAACACTCTACCTCAACATCTCTTCATCTTCTCTAAAGCAGCCCAACATGGCCTTGCTCCCTTTGTTGCTTGTTCCCGGGGGCGGGGTTTATGTAAATTTCAGGAAGAAGCTCGTTGTAGTCCCTACCAGCCTTTTTTGTAGTCCTTAAACAGCTATTTCTTTAAAATAAAATATCTCCCTTTGCATTGAACTTTGAGCGTTGTAACTTTGCAGACGTTGTTTATGCTCTAAAAACAACATTACACACTAACTAAAGTTCGTAAAAAAATCGTAATCAACCACCCCTTTAAGAAAATTTCACCAAGAGTGGTACTGAAAATATGCTCACCCCAAATTTTTCATTCTTTCATTTATTACTCGTGTTGTTCCAAGCCTACATATTATTTATTATGTATTAAGCCTACATAATATAAATTTTACATATAAAATAATAATTTTAAATTATTTTTTATATATAAATTTATACTAATGAAGAATCTTTAAACAGCTCTTTTGATATAACAACAATTCCAAAAAAGCATTCAAATTTCCCCAAAAAACATGAAAGTAGTCTACATGCACTATATTCCAACTCTTTTGAATTTGTGTGATAGTACTGTGCAAGGAAAATAATGCATTCACGCTATCTAGTGCTTCATACTTAGGGTGACCAGACGTCCTGTTTTTCCCGGGACAGTCCTGTATTTCAGCTCTATTTTTAGTGTCCCGACTTATTTTGAAAAAATCATGTTTTGTCCCGTATTTCAAAATTTCTTTACGACTGGGTGATAGCAAGTAGTAATAGTGTTGTCGCTGTCACGCAAGAATAGACTAATCAAAGGTAACTAAGCTTGTCGTAGAACAAAATTACCATCCAATCACAATTCGTTATCGATTAACTTGCAGTAAGTGAAGGCGGGACAGGCAGAATCACGCTGAATGACACAAAAGAAGCGCTCTCTCATGCCGAGTTCACACTGCACGATTTTAGCCCAATTTTTCACTCGCCGACAGGTTTTGCGAAATCGCCGACAAATGCCTGACATCGGAGGCAAATCGGTGCTCGTTCACGTGAGTGACAATCACGCAGTGTGAATTATCAAAGACGCGATCTGAGGGAATCGCCGA